CTTTCAAACAGCAGACGCAGGTATGACAGGGTGAATGATCTTCTTTCATGCTGTTAGATTCTATGAGATTTTCATGGATGTTAAACTGGTCAATTTTAACTCCGAGCACATGTACAGGCTGGATATGCAGCATTAAGGCAATTCATGGACTCTAGTTAGACCACAGCTGGAGCACTGCGTGCAGTTCTGGGCTCCACACTATAGGAAGGATGTGATTACACTGGAAGGGGTGCAGAGGAGATCCACCAGGATGTTGCCATGGATAGAGCAGTTTAGCTATGGAGAGAAGCTGGATAAGGTCAGGGTGTTTTTTTTTGGAGCAGAGAAGGCAACTATTCCCCTCAGTTGAAGGTAAATAACAAGGGGCTATAATTTTAAGGTGAAAGACAGGAAGTTCAGAAGGGATTTGAAGACTTTTTTTTAACCTAGTGGGTGTTGGGAATCTGGAATGCATTGCCTGCAAGGGTAGTTGGATGAGCACTTGAAATATTATATTTAAGGCTACTGACCAAGTGCTGGTATTGTGGGAATAGTGTAGTGTAGTTCTTTTTCTGTCAGTGCAGACTGCATGGGCTGAAGGACCTCTTCTGTACTGTGCGATTTTATGATTCTACAAGACACCACAGTACTGCAACACTGCCTCTTACCCAATGCCAACTCTGTCTCCACCTATGCACTATACTGGTTGTCCATGCAAAGGGATCATCACAGGCGGGTGTGACTTTTACATGCAAACTAGACCTTCACCTGCTTTGGGAAGGTGGCCATGCTGTGCCTGTTCTCACCAGTCAAGACGGTGGGGTAATATTATCATTATTTCATAACTGTGCAGCATGATTTGCAGAATTACCACAGCAATTTCTAGGTCCTTAGGTAGTGCTTTGGAACCTCCAACATATCAAGACAGTTTGAGCACTTCAGCCTTATTTAGCTTTGCAAACTTCATTAATACTTCCCTTTCATTTATTATATCATCTCATTACATATTTAATTAATTCTAGATTTACCTCTTCTACAATACATCTTACTTCTGTGAATTGAAATATGTTAAAGATCCCAAGTAAAAATTATCATTCTCTCTACGCAGAGGTTTTTTTTTCCTGGTATACTTATAAAATCCTTTACGAACTTTCATGACATTTTTGTTTAAAAGATTCATGCCTCATATTCCCTCCTTACTTTCCTTATTCTGCTCTTCTTATGCATGTTCACACAAGAGATAATATTTGTTGGACTGCATTTGAGATTTATAGATAAAATAAAAATATTAATAACTACAATCAAAATACTTCAGATTAATTGCAGCTGCTTTCTTCTAGTCTAAAATACATACAGCATTAACAGCAATTAAAGGTGTTTTGTATGAAATTTCTACCCTGTATTATAGTTTGAATCTTTAAAGGCTTGTACATTGATTTTTACATTTTCATTACCATAAGAAGTATTACCAAGTTTTCTTTAAGTGGGAAATGTTAGAACTGGTCTGGTTAAATATTAATTGCCTAAATATTGATCAATAATCACCTTAGGGATTTAAGATGCAGACCTCTTTTCAGAAAGCCACACTTGGCTTTTGTTTTAACCTCCAATTGGAGATGTTTAGTTCCCAACCTCGTCTATGGTTTCTTGACAGCATCTACCACTGCCTGACCAGATTAAAAAGAAATATTTCCTAAATTTTAATGCATTTAGAAAATGTTATGCTCTAATGTTATAATTCCTCCTTGTTGCTCACACTACTCCTGTTATAATATTACTGATCAACAGCTTGCATAACTAGCAAGACCAAGTCAGCAGAGAAATGGTGCAGAATTATTGACACCACTCAAATTGACTGTTATGCAAGTTAAAAGTATACTTGCATTAACTTGAATTCCCATTCTCACTTTCTTTAAGCTTCAATTTCCCAGACAGTATTGCAATTAATGGTTATATCACATCATGTTGACAATCATGCATGGATTCTTGAATCAATTCTCTTATTGAAACACACGTAGTTGGAGTTACGGTGCTGTAGAGGAATTAACCAAAAAGTTAAGAATTCAAAGTGTTAAAAATAAGAATTTAGTAAAAAAAAAATTTAAAAAAAACTAATGCTGAATTTAAATCCTTGCTGAATGGGAAACAAAAACCAACTTCGCACTTAACCGTGCAGGTGGTGGCTCTCAAACATGAACCTTCAGTCAAGAGGCTTAAAAACAAACATGTTATTTGACCCTTTAAGAATTCTCTCTGATGGAACAGAACAAAGGAACGTGTTTTCCAAACTAACACAGAACTTCCTTAAAGCTAGTTTCATAGGTAAGTGCTCGTTAAGGATCAGATACCTTGAACACAAAGTTAAAGTCTTTTGAATAGAATTCCTGAAAAATCTCTGACACAACAAAAAGCTTGGAATTATACTTGGACTGTGAGCATAATCTTTGTGTAATATTTGCTTGCATGTTCTGAAGTCATTTTTAAGTAGATCTGAATACTTCGTTTATTTTTAAAGTGAATTTACTTCTGAATAGTTTCTCCCAAGAATTTTTGCTAGGTGAACAGACAATCTTAACTATTCTAAACTCTTTAATATTGCTGCTATTACTAAATTTAATCCAGGACTGATTTCAATTAAAATATTGATTTATTTTTATGAAAGCTGTGGACTTGCACTTAATTCTTCAAGATCAAATATCCAAAAAAAAAACTCCTAGCATTCTTAAACAAGGAATTCTATCCATCATTGGTTAACTTCAAGAAGTTGTCTCTGCTATGGTATTGGGGAGCAGAGCAGATTTATTTGATTGAAATGTTTTTTGTAATCTGAAAACTCCAAGGAATGAGGACACATTGTTTTAAGACCAGGTCTAATAGCTACTAATTCAGACCAAGTTCCCATAATGAGTTAGAATCTCCTAGAGTTGGATTTTGATTAACAATAAGTTTGTAAATAAATTTACCTTGCCAGTGGGTAAAGATAGTAAAACCATGACAATCAAAAACACAAGCTGTGTTCTTAATTAAAAGCCAAGTAATTGACTTTTAAAAGCATACAACTTCAAAACTATTCCAATTTATGTTGGCACAAAAGAAAGGAAACAAAATTATTTTAACTTAGCTATCTATTTAATCAAAACAACAAAAAAAGCATCATGACGTAATTCTCCAAATGTTCTAACATAGGACAGGTCTGACATGGTGACCCCTCAGCCTGTTCACAGAGGTGTCAAGGCTTCACCCTTAGCATTGCTGACCTTCCTCTGACATAGGCAGATGTGCAGCTGAACTGCCCAAATACAATTTTCCATTAACTGCTTCTGCATGAATTTCACCAACTTATTTTCTTCAAAAAGGAAGTTGTTTTCGTCAACTCCAGTCATTGGGGCATTTTGGGCAGACGTGGTATCATCAGGGAGCGAATGTCTGTGGATGTGGTGCCAATCAACTGCGCTGCTTTGTCTGGATGAAGTCAAACTTCTTGGTTGTTGTTGGACCTTCCTGAATGAATCCAATCACTCTCAGCTTATCTCTAGAGTTCAGCCGTTTTGGTCCATGTTGGACCAAGACATGGAATGTGGTCAGGAGCCGACTGGCTCTGCTGGAATCCAATTGGCGAGCATGTTGTTGTTGAGCAATTGCGGCTTGATGGCTCCATTGGCAGCATTTTCCATGCTTTGGTGATGACTGAGGGTACAGTGATGGGGTGGCAACTGGCTGGATTAAATTTGACTTGATTAAATCTGACTTAGTTTTTGTAGACAGGAGATACCTAGGCAGTTTTTCACATTGTCAGGTGTATGCCACAGTTGCAGCTTTAATGGAACACCTTAACTAGGGGCAGAGCTAGTTCTAGAGCACATTTCAGTACTCCTAGTTGAATGTGACAGAGTCTATGATGTTGGTTATATCCAGTGTTTTCAGATATTCCTTGAGATTATATGGAGTGAATAAAATCTTTGTTGAAAACCGCAGGAGACCAAGATGGAGCATTCACTTGGCACTTCTGGCCAAAGACAGTGCAGTCCTGACCCTTACATTGACATGCTGGGCAATATGGACCTTATTTGAACCCAGTGGGGCCTAGGCAAATGCTACTTTTGCTTTGTTCACAACTTTTTGCACATTCTTCTTCCTTTCTATAGTTCTATTAACAGTTAAAGAGATAGCATACGCTAATTTTGTGTTAGAAATCAGACATGAAAAAAACCAGGCATATAAATTAACTAGTGTCAATACGTGAACTCAGTCTGCACCTCTTTATCTGCAGGAACCACTTTTAGAGCTACAGAGAAGTCTAAAGTGAGGCAATAGGAGTTTAGAAGAATGAGAGTGGATCTTATTGAAATATACAGGATTCTTATGGAACTTGAGAAAAGGTAAGTGCTGAGAGGATGTTTCCGCTCATGGAGAGAGTCTAGGATCAGAGGGATAGTGTTAGAACAAAGGGGCACCAACTTAAGACTGATATGGGGAGGAATTTCCTCTCTGAGGGCTCAGTGTCTTTAGAACTCCTTGCCACAGACAGCAGTGGGAACAGAGTCATAGTGTATACTCAAGGCTGAGGTAGATAGACTCTTAATCAGTCAGGGAATGAAGGGGTATGGGGAAAGGACAGGAAAGTGGACATGAGGAATGTCAGATCAGCCATGATCGTACTGAATGGCAGAACAGGCTCGGGGGGCAGTACAGCCTTCTCCTGTTCTTATTTATTATAGTCTTATAGTTTTAAATATAATTTTATATATGATACACATTTTATCTTCAGATTACTGAGGACATAAGTTCTATCTCAGATTTCCACCCCAATCATACTAGTGTTAGTTTCCAGCGTCATTCCAAATCACTGTTGCTGGGTAGGAGCAAGGTTGTGATTGAGCTCATGTTTTTATTTTTGGAAATCACTTTTGTGTATCTCACCCTGCCTTGTTAATTTCTAATAAAATATTAAGATAGCTAAGAGAAATAATCAAAAATAAAGAGAACAGATTTCTGATGTGCTACAGAAGCCTCATACATACTTGTCCTCCAGTGTCTCTTTGTATTTCATTCTTCTCTTTTATATCCAATCTGTTGTATAAAAATAAGTGACATTCATGTTACTTACTTGCATGGCAAACCTCCTTTATAAAATTATTGATGACAGTCGGTTTAGATTTGCTCAGCATTCTCTAACTACTATTTGCTCATATATAGAAACACTATTTTAAAAAAAGCTTCAATTTGCCAATTAAGGTTTCTGGTGATTAACTTCAAACAATCTTTTCAACAAGTATACTAAATCATACTGTGCAATCAAAAACTTTCAACATAAATTACTCATACAGGATTACCAAAAGATTAGCAATTATGGAAATAAATAAACGGCTGTTGCAAAGTGCTGAGTTTTATATTCTAGTTGTTATTGAGGGCTGGTATAATTCAACAAAATTGGTCCAGAACATCTGATCTGGTGCCCGAAGCCTGAATTTTAATCTCACTGAACCAACTGTCTTTTCTGTCTTTATATCATTCCATCTTATTAATTTTAAATCTACAGACTACCAATTTTCTTACATTCATCTAGGTTCCTTATAATTCTTTCATCATTCCTCACCCAAAGATGACATTTTTAGAAAACTGATTTCTGCTACAGAGTAAAATAGAAATTCCACTATCATATTCACAATGTGTAAACATGGCCAACGTCAACTCCTGGGGGAACTTCCCCATTAATACTGACAGAAACTTGTGTTTGTATGGCAAAATAGGCAGAAGAAGTCGCTTTCCTCTTTTAGATTTGACAAAGCACATGTTCCTAAGGCAGGGAAAATATTTTGCCGTGTGCTCAATGACAACCGCATTAATGATTTTAAATTGCAAGTTTTTGTGGGGGAAGCTTTAATTCCTTAGGACAGTTGGGAAGGGCCAGAAGGTCAAAGTTGCAAAGTTGTGAAACCTAGCCTTCCCAATTGGATATGAACGTGCCTAATTCTGGTTTAACCATGACACATTTGGGAACATCTGAGTAACCTACTCCGAAGAGGAAGGTCGGTGATGCCAACATATTAGCGAAGGTCTGTTCATCAGATTTTGAAAGTCATTGAAATTCAATGGCTATGAGCAAGGCTTTCCAGGGCTGCAATGCCAGTAATTGAAGGGAGGTGGTAGGTACCAGAATCAGCAATCATGTGTTTTCCAGCACATCTTGTGGTCTCGAAGGTGCAAGATCGCTTCCCCCAGTCACTCAAACAAAAAATCTCCCATAACGTCTTCCCCATCCAATTACTTCAGTGCAGCAATCTCTTGTGCACTCACAGCAGAAAATCAATTCCAAATCAACAAATAAACAATTTTAAATCTTAAGAAAAGAACAGATCTTAACCACTTTTAGAAATGACCTGGATGAGGGCGTAGAAGGATGGGTTAGTAAATTTGAGGATGACACCAAAGTCGGTGGAGTTGTGGATAGTGCAGAAGGATGTTGCAGGTTACAGAGGGACATAGATAAGCTGCAGAGCTGGGTTGAGAGGTGGCAAATGGAGTTTAATGCGGAAAAGTGTGAGGTGATTCACTTTGGAAGGAGTAACAGGAATACAGAGTACTGGGCTAATGGTAAGATTCTTGGTAGTGTGGATGAACAGAGAGATCTCGGTGTCCATGTGCATAGATCACTGAAAGTTGCCACCCAGGTTGATAGCGTTGTTAAGAAGGCGTACAGTATGTTAGGTTTTATTGGTAGAGGGATTGAGTTTCGGAGCCATGAGGTCATGTTACAGCTGCACAAAACTCTGGTGCGGCCGCACTTGGAGTATTGCGTACAGTTCTGGTCACTGCATTATAGGAAGGATGTGGAAGCATTGGAAAGGGTGCAGAGGAGATTTACCAGGATGTTGCCTGGTATGGAGGGATGGTCTTATGAGGAAAGGCTGAGGGACTTGAGGCTGTTTTCGTTAGAGAGAAGAGGGTTAAGAGATGACTTAATAGAGACATACAAGATGATCAGAGGATTAGATAGGGTGGACAGTGGGAGCCTTTTTCCTCGGATGGTGATGGCTAGCACGAGGGGACATAGCTTTAAATTGAGGAGTGATAGATATAGGACAGATGTCAGAGGTAGGTTCTTTACTCAGAGTAGTAAGGGCGTGGAATGCCCTGCCTGCGAAAGTAGTAGACTCGCCAACTTTAAGGGCATTTAAATGGTCATTGGATAAACATATGGATGATAATGGAATAGTTTAGGTTAGATGGGCTTCAGATTAGTCTCACAGGTCGGCGCAACATCGAGGGCTGAAGGGCCTGTAGTGCGCTGTAATGTTCTATGTTCTATGTACCAGGTACTCATCAGAAAGGTAGCACCTTTCCCTGTAGAACAGCTAGAACCTTTTCATACAGAACGAGGGACAGAAAAGCAAAAGGAAAGAAACTCCTCCTTCCCCACCATTCACCAAACTCTCAGATTTGCACACAATTTCCTCAGCTGCACTCAAGAACACTATTTCAAGCCAACTGAATTGGGGCTAGAGAAACCAACTAGCTACCTAACTAACCAACTACCTTGACCTCATGGCAGAATGTGTTTACCTCGTCTAAGCTGCAAGAAAGGAACTTAATTTATTTACACCGTACTTTCCAGTTACTGCAATCACTAAACTATCAGATTTGCACTCAGTTTCCTCTGCCGCACTAATGTGAAGTAGATAGGAGTTAACCAAAGAATATCTCATTCATTCATGTAGCAACAAAGATTTTTTCAGTTAACAAAATGCAGCAGTGTGCTTGGAAGAATTTTTAAAAAGTAATTTTGCAGCAGTAGCCTGGAGTGGGAGTGGAACCTTAGGGGTAACGCCAGGAATATTTTCAAATTAATTTTTGCGTCAGCAGGGAGTAGGGCCAGGAAACGTCTGAATTAATTTACATCACCACAGGGAGAAAAGCAGAGAGCATTTTAAAACTTATTTTTCCTATCAGCCATAATATGGTCCTGAAGAGGATGGCCAGATAATTTAAAAATGTCAGAAAAGAAACAGTATTTTTAAGGGAAGGCAATGGTCCTATGGTATTAATGTCTGGGGAATAAAACAAAGAACATTGGATGCTGGAGATTGTCAACAAAAACACAAATTGCTAGAGAAACTCAGGTCTCGTGGCATCTGCAAGCAGGAAACAGAGTTAATGCTTCAAGTCCAGTGATTCAGGTCTGGAGTTCTGATGGAGAGTCACTGCACTTGAAACATTAACTTTGCTTTCTCCCCACAAATGCTGAGTTTCGTTGCATTTTTGTTAATGTTCTCAGAACCCAGGTTCAAATCCCACTATGGTAGATGGTGAAATTTCAACTCAATTTGAATTAAGAATCTAATGATGACCATGAAACCTGTTGATTGTCAGGAAAACCCACCTGGCTCACTAACGTCCATGCAGGATAGAAAGCTCTTGTCCTGACCTGGTCTGGCTCAAATGTGATTCTACACCCACAGCAATGTGGTTGAGTCTTAATTGCCTTTGGGCAATTAGGGTACTGGCCTAGTCAGTGATTTCTGCATACCGCGAATGAATTAAAAGATCAGTATAACAACATTGACAGGAATTACAGCATATATGTTATACAAGTGCAGCATCAAAAGAAATTTAAAATCATAACAGAATGTGACATTTCCATGCAGGAACAACATAGAAGATTTAACATATTATCGATCAATTACCTCCAACTTTGCATTTCAGCTTTGCTTTTTTAAAAATTATTTTTAAAAGCCGCAGCAACTTACTAAGAAATACCTGTATGCCCTGTGTGAAATAAAGGAGTCATCTTTGGAAGGGAGAAAGCTGCTTCATCAATGACCTTCCTTCCATCATAAGGTCAGAAGTGGGGATGTTCACCAATGATTGCACCATGTTCAGCATCATTTGTGGCTTCTCAGATATTGAAGCAGTCCATGTTCAAATGCAACAAGATCTGGACAATATTCAGGCTTGGGCTGACAAGTAACTTTCGCGTCACACAAACACCTGGCAATAATCTTCTGCAACAGAGACAATCTAACCAGCTCCCTTTAACAATGGTGCTACCACCACTGAATCCCTCTTATCAATACCCTGGGGGTTACCATTGACCAGACATTGATCTGGACTCTCCTTATAAAACATTGGCTACAAGAGTAGGTCAGAGGCTAGGAATCTTGCAGTGAGTAACTCTTCTTCTGACTCCCCACCTCCTGTCCACCATCTACAAGGCACAAGTCAGGAATGTGATGGAATAGTCCCCACTTGTTTGGATGACTGTGGCTCCAACAACACTCAAGAAGCTTGACACCATTCAGGTCAAAGCAGCCCACTTAATTAGCACCACATTCACAAGCATCCACTCTCTCCACCACTGACAATGAGTAGCCGCAGTGTGTACTATCTACAAGATACATATCAGAAATTCACCAAGGCTCCTTAGACAGCATCTTCCAAACCTATGACTACTTTCACCTAGAAGAACAAAGGGCAGCAGATAAGTGGAAACACCACACCCCTGCAATTTCACCTCCAAGCCACTCACCGTCCTGTCATGGAAATATATTGCTATTCTTTCACTGTTACTGGGATTCTGCAATTCCCTCCCTAAGAGCATATGGCCTGCAGCAGTTCAAGAAGGCAGATCAACCCCACCTTCTCAAGAGCAACTAGGGATAGGCAATCAATGCTGACCCAACCAGTGATGCCCATTTCCCATGAACGTCTAATTAAACAAAGCACCAAGTGTGACTCAGCTGGAGTCAACTCTTAAAAATGTGACTTACAATTAATATAATCCTTGCTTTAATGGTCCCCATTGCAATTTTTATGCATTAGAAATTCATAAATTCCCTTCAAACCACCAGATCTTCAGTGCACCAGAGAAACACTGAAAAATGATTAGACTGCCAAATATTCAGTGGGACTCCAGTTTGACTGCTGTATAGACCTAATATTCACTAAAAAGGATGTAAATAATTTATCAACTAGTTGTAATCAATATCCAAGTGACCTAGAATACACTGCTGTCAGAAAACACAGGATGTTATTTTAATTTAATTTGCATTAGCCCTTACAAATAGTAGCAA